CCCCACCCCCCCAACCCCCCCCCACACACAATTTCAAGAGTGGATTGTGCTGCCACCTGGTGGCCAAAGCCAGGATAAGCGCCCCTAAATTTTAAGTACCCAGCATCTCTTTCTGACCCCCAAGCCAGGATAAGCGCCCCATCTGAGCCTTCAGAGCCCACACAAATCAGAGCCCACACAAATCTGACCCCACGGAGGCGGGGGGGGGGGGGGCTCCCCACCACCGATTTCACCATCTTGTTTCACAGAGCAAGTCTGTTTTCTCCAGGGAGGAATAAACGTCCTTATTGCCTGCAACCCCTTCTCATGCCACCATGGAAGCTGACCAGCTCTGGACCAGGCTGAGAGAGAAGTGGCTTTGCAGAGAGTTCCCAGCAAGCTGGTGGCAAACCCAGTCTCCAGACTCCCTGTTCCCAGACCCTCCCACTGTCAGGCTGCCCTCTGGCTCTTCCCCGCAGGCTCTGGGAGCTGACTTCAGAGCCCATCTCTGCCCACTGGGCGGCCCAGGGCTTGTCAATTAACCTCTCTGAGCCCTGCTTCCTGGGCAGGTTGTGGGAGAAACCAAATATACATAAGCTAAAACTCTATGGATAATATCAAGCAGATACATGCTTGATATTAACTATGACTGATAACTGTTTTTTTAATTGCCAACTAAAACTAACTCAGCCTCTTTCCACCTAAAATGGTCTTCTTTGATCTCTAACTCAGGCTCTTTCCAGAGGCGTTCAACTCTAAATCCTCACTCCTGGAGGGGCTGAGATCCCCTCTTGCTCTTCAGAGGGTCTCCCTCGTTTCTGTCCCAGCCAAGAGGACATCTGGATCCAGGAGCTGGCTTCCGCTTAGAGCCCAGGTCAGGGCTCATGTCTCCTGGCTTTAGGCTGTGAGCCTCACCCTACCTGCTTGCACTACCGAGTCCCTGCTTCAGGGCTAATGAGGGTCTGCTCTTGGCCCAGCCAGATTGGGTGGGCCCCCGACAGCCCTCAGCCACAGGGCCACTTGGGCCCTCCTCGGCGGCCACCTAATGAGCTCCCAGCCAGGGTCCTCCTCCATCTGCATCCCCCACACAGGCATGCAGGGACCCTGAATTCATTCCCTTCTGGGCCAGAGGGAGAGCTGGGATCTTGGGCCACCTCAGCCTCACCTGCTCAGTGGCTCCCCTGCCTGTGAAACTGGCCTCCTCAAGCAGCTGGGTTGGCTGCTGGAATTTCTAACATCCCTCTCACACCCCTGATGCACACACTTGCGAGAGGGTGGGGGGTCCCTTCCCAGGACCCTTCCTGCTCATCCTTGCTCTAGCTGTGGTCACTCATCCCAGAACCAGCAGGCCACGTTCTCTCTAGTGAGGACTGACCCAGGCCATCTCCTCCTTCTTGCTCACCCCATGGACTTCCTGTTCTAGACAATACGTGCCTGCTGTTCTGTGGGGCAGTGGAACTCCTGGCTTTGCCTGAATGGCAGGAGTGCAGGGGAGGACCACTGGCAAATCAGGGGCCACAGGTCATGTACCAAGTGTCATGCATGCTCTGTTATATTCGTCCTTCTGCCTGGCCTGCAGAGGAATCAGTGAGCTTCCCCCCCAACCCTGCCCCCCTCTTCTCTTCCACCTCTTTCTCTCCCCCCCCTCCCCATACCCCCTTCCTCGGGCTTGTGACTGAGGGCCAACTCAGCCAACTCTCCTGACTTCTAGGCAATGCACAGGTCTGGCCTGAACCTTTCCCACCTGCCCTCAGGTCTGCTGCAGGCTGAGTGCCTGAATACTCACCTTCAGATGGAGGCCCATCCCTTGAGCACTGACACAGCTTTCACCACGAACACCTGAGCATTTGGGCATTCCAGATTGGAGGACAGTGTCATGTAGAGGTCACAAGCCCCAGAGCACAGTCGCCTGGGCTACAATCCTGCTGGCACCACTGACCCGGGACGGCCTCGGTGGGGACCCTTGACTCTGCTGAGACCACAGCCCCGTCAGTTAAGTGGGAGTGACCGCAAGAGGGTGGTTATGAGGCCATAGAACATGCTCGTCAGGCTCTGGAACACCGTAAGTGCTAAGGAAATGATCATTGCTAAGGTTATGATTTTGGAATGGGTCCCAGTGGGGACACCGTGACCCAGAAGACTGAAGAAACTACACTGAGTCTTTCTGCCTAAAACCCCTAGCTGACCTGGAGGCCGTCGCTCCTTCCAGGAGCCCTGGCCCTAGGACCCAGAACATTTCCAATGTTTTCAAAGGGGCAACTCTCCACTTCTGACCAGGGCCACCTCATCTCAGGGCAGGACAAGCTGGCTTTCCTACCGGGAGGGCGGACTTCCTTCGCTGCAGTCCATTCAACGGTTCTAAAGCAAAACATATGCCTCTCAGGCTTTGAAGAAAGTCACCTTCATTCCAATTGTGTGTATCCCATTTGACAAGAACAAAATCATACAGCCTCGCAGTCCTGGCCTCTGTCATCGGCTGTTGCGGGTGCCCCCCCTCACCGGCACAAAGAGGGTGGTGACGGGCCCCACGGCAGAGTGAGTGCCATGGGGTGGGCAGCCGTCCATGCTGGTTACCTGCCCAGGTTCTATCTCCTACCTCCCCTTTCTCTTCTCTGGCTTCCAGTCCTCCCTCCTACACTCCCTTCTGCTCCTCGGCAACACCCTCCAGCCCCAGGGCCTCTGCACCGCCTTCCCTCAGCCAAGAGGGCTCTACCCTCTTCTACCCAGCCCTCAGGTGATGCCCCCTGCTGGAAGAGGCCTCTCCGGGACCTCAGGCAGCCCAGGGCCCCACTCCACTTGCCCCCCCCCCCCCAGCCCCCAGACCTCTCCTGGAGCGCTGGGTATAATTACAGTGAGTTCTGGATGGCCTGTCCGGCGGGGCCACATTCCCAAGCACTGACTAAAGCATCCTTGCCCTGCAATTATTTTTTCTCCTTTAAACGAATCAGGCAGCTGAAGAGGTGAGTGCTACCTCAGGGTGAGTGAGCTTCGATGAGCAAAGAATGAATTCAGCGATTTGTAGCTTTGGAGTTTTTAAACTGGCCTTTAAAAGTCCTGGTGGCCATCAGTTGAAAAGGAAAGGTTTGGGGAGACTCAGAGCACAGCACCCTTGCCAGAGCTCCGAGAGGAGCAGATCTAGAATCAGGCCCTGCCACGGGCTAGGGGTAGACAGCTGGCAGATGCGAGGGAGGGAGTCCCCAAGAGGGGGCTCTGTGCCCTGGCCTCCTGCCCCACCCCTCCTCATGCCTGGGGCCCTAGAGCACCCTGCAGTTCCCCAGGGGCCAGGAGCAGGGGAAGAAAAGGCTGCAGGAGGTGAGCAGGCAAAGGGGTCTCACTGCCCCCAGCAGGGCACAGGCGGGAGCAACTGTCTCCGTCTGACGGAGGTGGCCTGTCCCCCAGACGGGGGGCTCTAAGGCTGACCTCGGGGGGACAGGCTAGGTCAGCAGCGCCAGCACCCATGGGTCCAGTGACCCCAGCACGAGGATGAGGAGGGAATTCCCTTCACCACTGCCATTACTACACGAAATAAAGTGCCCCCACATCCACACACCCCGCATCCCCACCACACATCCCAGCATGCCTCCCACCCTACGCTTGGGACACTCCCTGCGGAGGAACCAGATGTGGCCGAGAAAAGCCTGATGAGATTAAGTTTCTGTCCTCAGCACAATGAGGCCCCAAGACAAAAATGAACTAAGTGGCTTTTTTGTTTTGAGGGCATCAGGCTGGCTGGGTCTGGTTCACTGCTGCGGCCTTGAGCTAGCACCAGCCCCTCGAGCAGCAGGTGCTCTGTGGGTCCTCCTCCCAGCCAGAAGGTCAAGTCCGGGCAGAGCGTGGTTCTCACCAAGCCAGAGGCTGCGATGCCCTGCCGGTCCCGGGCGATGGGATCCCGGGGGGTCTCCGCATGACCACCAAGCAGGGGAGGCTCTTAGGAGAGGGTGTGACGGCTGGGTGGGCAGGCCTCTGCTGGCGACTGGGGCGTGGAGGCCACAAGACACAGGCCCAGGAAGAAAGTACGTCATGCAGGTGGCACGGTCTCCTGGCCCTTAGACAGTGGCCTTGTCCTCAGAGGGTCCGGGGAGCAGCTGGGGAGCCAGCCCTCCAGGGTCTAACTCCTCCCAGAGCTACAGGCTGGGGTGGCCAAGACTCCCCAGGACGCTGCCCTGCTTGGTCAGGTGACGCAACCCCAAATACACTCCTCGTAGGACGGGACCCGCAGAGCCCCCACCCCACCCCCCGAGGGCTACGGCCCCCGAGGCGGGACAGCGCCGTGGAAGACCGCCTTTGATCAAGCCGACAGTCCTTCCTTCCTCATCTGGATGACCAAGCTGGCCTGAGAGCCACAAAGCCCCGAAGCTCAGCCAGCCCGAGCTTCGGACACTTTTCCCTCACCTTTTCTCCCACTTGACGCCTCCCCGTGGGGCAGCCCGAGTGTGCCTGTCACGGGGGCCTCCCAGGAGGCCCCCAGAGATGGGACAACTAGGGGTTCTCTGCAGGGCGGCGATGGCGAGGACGGCAAGTGGAGGGGCGAAGGTCTTCAAGAAAGCCTGGGGAGGTGATGGTAGGTTCGAGTTGCCACTTCCCGGTGGGCGGAAGAGCACAGAAGCCGAAAGCACAAAAGGAAGAGGGTGACCGCCCCCGGCCCCTTCCCCACCTGGGCTCTCATTAGGAATATTGTGTGGGAGAGGAGCAGAGGGTGGGGTGCTCTGAACTGGGCAGGGCAGGAGGGGCTGGAGGCCGGGGCTGGGGGGCATGCATGGCAAGGAGGCACGTGAGAGGGGGACCAGTCAGCGTGGTGGGCGGCCTACCCAGGGGACCACCATGGCCACCAGCTCCTCCCTCAGCCCATTCCTCCTTGGTCCCACGCAGCATCTGTGGTGAAGTGGGCGGTGAGGCCGCGCCCTCCTCAGCGCCCTCAGCAGTGCAGGCGGCCCCCCAGGTACTTACAAGGTGTGCAGCTGGGTGCCCAGGGGCCAGACGGCGGACGATCTCGGGGCAGGGGCTAGAGGGGGGCCACATCCTCGGGCGACACGTGAACCGCATTTATTTGGCCGGCCTTCAACAAATGTTCAAGGCTGCTGACTGCTGGGCCCTGAGCGGGGCCCCAGGGACAGGGGTGCGTGAGACCTCTCGGCCGGTCCAAGGCAGGGCGGCGTGCGGAGCCCCCAGCACAGAGCCTGGCGTACCCTGGCACTCGGGGAGTGTTTGCTGAATCCACGGTGGGCCCCCGGGCGGGGGTGGGGGGAGCGGGGCCCCTGCGGAAGGGGAGGGGAGGGAGGGGCTGCGGCCCAGACTGTGAGGGCTCGTCCCACCTGCTCCTGCTCGTAGCCCTCTCACCCCGCCAACACCTCACTGCCAGCACCATGGCCGAGGGGCTGCGGACACGATCTGGGGGGGGACTTCCCTGAGGGATGGGGGCAGGACTGCTGGCCCTCGGCTCCTCTGGTCTGGAGCCCCTTTAGCCCCGTGCAGCCTGGCCCTGGCCCGAGGTCGGCCTGCACCGCCTGGCCGGACGTGTCTTGTCCAGGGCCCTTGGGCCAGCCCTGCCCCAAGATCAGTTTAAGGCCTGGCAGGGCTGGGGAGAGCGGGGAGACATGCAGTGGGCCCGGGCCATGTGAGAGGGACCCCCACCCCGCCCCAGGGGGGCGCTGAGCTGGGAGCCCTGAGGTCAGGGGCCCCGCGGCGGAGCCCAGAGCACAGTCCAGCTCAGTGGGGCCGCTTGCTGTCCAGGATGGCCTTCCAGTCGTCCGCCCACGAGTGCAGCCTGCGGCCGGGGGGCTGCAGCTGCACGTGCCGATTGTGACAGGCCGTGAAGAGGATGTGCTCCCAGCTGGGGTTTGGCTCGGCCCCTGTGGGCGGGAAAGCAGCGCCTCAGTCCCCGGAGGCCCCCGAGCGTCCTCAGGCAGGCTTCCCAGGCCCGTCCGTCAAGTGGTGACCACACTAGGGCCTGTCCCAATGCAGGTGGCCAGGATCACGTGAGCCTGGCCCACGGGAAGCACGGGGGTGGGGGGGTGGGGAAGGGGGGGTGGCACCCGGCGGATGCACCGCACACGGGGACTTCTGTGCCGGCCATCGCGGCGGCCACCACCGGAGGCTGAGCCCTGCTGATGCCCGCCCCTGCCCTCCTGCGGGCTCAGCCTTCCCGCAGCTTCCCGGCTCTTGGCCGTGGGCCCCACGAGCCCCCCCAAGCTCCCATCCCTCACGTCCACCTCTGTGCACTGACTGACTCCCTGGCTCCTTCTTGCACAGGCCTCTCCCCTGCTCCCCCCTGGCTGGACACGGAAGCTGAGCGGGGCGCTGGGGCCCCCCTCTGTGTGCCCTGACTCTCCTTGGTTCACCGCGTGGTCTGGGAGGTCCGGGGTGGGCACACCCACGAATTCTACCCTCTGGACACTGTGACTAGTGCAGAGATGCACATGCCTCCTGAGGCACCTCCAAAAGCCATCAGGGAAGCAATCTTCTGTATTCCCCCACTGAGGTGTCCAAAAGACTAGGATTTAACCCTCAAACTGCTGACGGCTTCCGAGAGGAGAGAGCATGCCTGCGTACAAAGACAAACCAGAGCAGAGCCGGGAGACAAAGAAACTGAATTTGGACTCATGTTGTTCGAGCTCCTTGTTTCACTGTGCCTGAAGCCTCCCTACCTCACCTTTCCAAGTAGGTGTGCTAATAAATCTCCCCTCTCCTTTCTAAGCCAGTTTAAGGTTGGTTTGTGTGTGTGTGTGTTTGTTTGTTTGTTGGGAAGGAGTCACCTAGAAGCAAAAGGGGTAAATACAGTTCCAAAACCAGCTTCAACTAAAGAAATGATGCTTTGCTCTTCTGTTTTACATAGTAGCTTCACTCCAAATTGCTCTTGGGGAAAAAATGGCTTTGGTGCTCAAACCAAACTTTTGGAAGCCAGTCTGGCCCTCATCTTACATAAGAAAGGCAAGGTCTCAAGGTATAAAGGGACTCATCCGAGGCCACCCCATGAGTTACCCCAGGAGCTAGGACCTGCTTCGCCTGACTCCCAGTGGCACCCCTTCCAAGGCTGGATGCTGAGAATAACCTCGTCTTCCTGGTAGGGAAGGGGCTCGGCAGTGGGCCTGAGGCTAGAGGCCTAATACACCGCTGGTGATCAAGTGGGGACCACTCAGGACAGGGGCCCTGAGGCCAGCCCCGCATGCTGTTTGTCCCGGCAGCTCTCAGCTCCACACTCGCTCCTCACCTGCCGTAGGCCACTTGCCTGTGATGTCTGGCCTGTCGTCTATGAGAAGGTCGGCAGAGACCACGGTCTTGTCTGTGGCCAGCACAATGTGATCCAGAAAGTCAGAGCCAAAGTGCTTCTCCACCCAGGCATACTGGAACACAAACAGGTAGGGGGAGAAGAGAGTGCCATCAGACCTGGGCACAGACGGAGCTGGGGCCCGGCCAGGCTTTCTCCAGGAAGAAGGGCCGCCATCAAGGAGATGAGATGATCCCACGGGCAGCAGAGAAAACGGATACTCCGGAGATGGTGTGACTTGTCCATGTCCCCACAGCTCCAATCCTGCCCATGCCTGGTCTATGCAATCCAACACTCATGCCATGATTGCCTTCTCTGATCCCCGTGTGCATGCACTCTGTTGGGCGCTAGGGACAGAGGCGAAGGGGGACAGAGCTCAAGACACACTGAAGCAATTCATTAGATGCCTCCAGGGAAACTGCCCCCAAACAGCAGTCTGCAGGGCCCCTGACCTGCGTGGGGTGCAGTGCAATGCGGAGGCAGGAATGGCCCAGGGCTAATGTTTCCAGCATACCTACTCTGCAAACACTCACCACCCATCATCTTATCTAAGCCTCAAACAGCTGATGCAGCAGGCAGCATTCTCTTCATTCAGTCCCTTATGCACCCAGGGTCTACTGAGCATCCACTAGGACCTGGAAGCCCCCGGTGTGTAGGAGAGATGCTCTCATGCAGTCCACATTCTACAATGCAGGAGACACAGCACACAGACAAGCAAATTCAGGTGGAACAGGCCTCCCAAGTAATACAGCAAGGAGCTCTGACAGAGGGCAGGGAGAGAAGGCCTCTCTGAGAAGAGACATCTGCAACTGGCCACGTAGGACGTGGCAGAGCCTGGGTATTAAAGGTCTAGAAAGTTCCACACAGAATAACAAATGCAAATGGTGCAGGGCAGGAACACACTTTGGAGTTTATCTGAGTGGCTGGAGTGCAGAAGAGAAGCAGGAGGAAAGAGAGAGGCAGGGGGCAGGCCAGGTCCCATGGGGCCTTGCTGGCCTTGGTGGAGAGGGACTCCTTGTTCTCAGTCCGCCAGGCATCTATTAGAGCTTGGTTTCACAAACTGTCGATGGAGAAGGACTGGTTGTTTTCTAAATTCCCAATTTATTGTGGACCCCTCTGTCTGTAAGAGATGAAATCCATGTTTTCTGCCCATTTCTTGACTGGATTTTTTGGGTTTTGGGTGCTGAGTTTGACAAGTTCTTTTCTTCAAAGAAGACCTACAAATGGCCAACAAACACATGAAAAAATGCTCAACATCACTAGGCATCAGGGAAATGCAAATGAAAACCACAATGAGATACCACCTCACACTGGTCAGAATGGCTAAAATTAACAAGTCAGGAAACGACAGATGTTGGCGAGGATTTGGAGAAAGGGGAACCCTCCTACACTGTTGGTGGGAATGCAAGCTGGTGCAGCCACTCTGGAAAACAGTATGGAGGTTCCTCAAAAAGTTGAAAATAGAGCTACCATATGATCCACAATTGCACTACTGGGTATTTACCCCAAAGATACAAAAGTAGGGATCTGAAGGGGTACATGCAACCCGATGTTTATAGCAGCAGTGTCCACAATAGCCAAACTGTGGAAAGAGCCAAGATGTCCATTGACAGATGAATGGAAAAAGAAGATGTAGTATTATATATATACAATGGAATATTACTCAGCCATCAAAAAACCCGAATGCTTGCCATTTGCAATGACGTGGATAGAACTAGAGGGTAATTCACTGATATGAGGAATTCTTAATCGCAGGAAACTGAGGGTTGCTGGAGTGGGGGGTGGGGTGGGAGGGATGGGGTGACTGGGTGATAGACACTGGGGAGGGTATGTGCTCTGGTAAGCGCTGTGAATTGTGCAAGACTACTGAATCTCAGATCTGTACCTCTGAAACAAATAATGCAATATATGTTAAGAAAAAAAAGAAGAAGAAGAAGAAGGTAGCGGGAGGGGAAGAATGAAGGGGGGGGAAATCGGAGGGGTAGACGAACCATGAGAGACGATGGACTCTGAAAAACAAACTGAGGGTTCTAGAGGGGAGGGGGGTGGGAAGATGGGTTAGCCTGGTGATGGGTATTGAGGAGGGCACGTTCTGCATGGAGCACTGGGTGTTATGCACAAACAATGAATCATGGAACACTACATCTAAAACTAATGATGTAATGTATGGGCATTAACATAAGAATAAAAAAAAGTAAAAAAAAAAAAGAACTAGAGGGTATTATGCTAAGTAAAATAAGTCAGTCAGAGAATGACAAATACCAGATGATCTCACTCATATGTGGAATTTAAGAAACAAAACAGATGAACATAGGGGAAGGGATGGAAAAATGAAATAAGACAAAAACAGAGATGGCGGCAAATCATAAGAGACTCTTAACTCTAGAAAACAAACCAAGGGTTGCTGGAGGGGAATTAGGTGGGCAGATGGGGTAACTGGGTGATGGGCAGTAAGATGTAAGTGATGTGATGTGATGTAATGTAAGTGATGTAATGAGCACTGGGTGTTATATGCAACCGGTGAATCACTAAACTCTACCTCTGAAACTAATGATATACTATATGTTAATTAAACTGAATTGAAATAAAATTTTTTTAAAAAAAGATACGAAATCCAATCATGTGTTTGGATGCTGCATCCATGTCAAATGGCCATGAAAGTTTCCACCGACATCCAAGTTCTGGGTTTCGTTTAGGAAAAAGACTCTAGATGTACATTTTTAAAGGGTCACGGTGGCGAATCAATGCCGTACAAACCAACTGAAGCTCAGAGAGGTTCAGCGAGTGGCAGAGCCCCGTTCAACACTGGGTCTGCACCTCCAGAGCCCACACGCTGGTCATGAAGAGTCCCCAGCGAGTTGACCAGGCCACCCACGGTAAAACAGGGATAATGACAGTATTGCCTCATGGGACTCCTTTGGGGATTAAATGGGAAAATGTACATAAAAGTCTTAGCCCAGTGCCTGGCACACAGAAAGCGCTCAGTACTAGGCAGCTGGACAAAGGCTTCTAGCTTTGGGTCTTATCTCTCCTCTCCTGTGGTTCTGATGTGTCTGAGCTCCGGGGCCTCAAACCAACCACCCAACCTTCTAAGACTCAGTGTCTTCACAGTGGTGTTGATGTGATTACATCAGATCTATGTCGGACGCAGAGTAATGCCTGACACATAGTACTTACTCAATAAATGTCATTATAGTTAAATTTTAATAGCCCCAAATTATATGTAAAAAAGCTACTAGAACAAATACGTTTTTCAAAATAGCAGGATACGGGGCGCCTGGGTGGCTCAGTCGTTAGGTGTCTGCCTTCAGCTCAGGTCGTGATCCCAGGGTCCTGGGATCGAGCCCCACATCGGGCTCCCTGCTCAGTGGGAAGCCTGCTTCTCCTTCTCCCGCTCCCCCTGCTTGTGTTCCCTCTCTCACTGTCTCTCTCTCTCTGTCAAAAAATAAATAAATTCTTTAAAAAAAAATAGCAGGATACAAGGTCAATACACAAAAATCACTTGTATTTATATACACTTGGATATTGAAATGAAAGAAATAATACCTTTTACAATAGCACCAAAAATATGAAATAGGCTGACTACACACTTAGAAATAGTTCAGATGGTGGGCGCCTGGGTGGCTCAGTTGGTTAAGCGACTGCCTTCAGCTCAGGTCATGATCCCAGGGTCCTGGGATCGAGTCCCGCATCGGGCTCCCTGCTCGGCGGGAAGCCTGCTTCTCCCTCTCCCACTCCCCCTGCTTGTGTTCCCTCTCTCGCTGTGTCTCTCTCTGTCAAATAAATAAATAAAATCTTAAAAAAAAAAAATAAATAGTTCAGATGGTAAATCCTATGTTACGTGTACTTTACCACAATCGTCAAACATTTATTTTTTTTAAAGATTTTATTTATTTATTTTAGAGAGAAAGAGGTGTGAGCAGGGGGGAGGAGCAGAGGGAGAGGGAGATAATTTCCAGCAGGCTCTGCGCTGAGCACAGAGCCCGATGCGGAGCTGGATCCCACGACCCTGAGATCATGACCTGAGCCAAAACCAAGAGTTGGATGCTTACCCTACTGAGCCACTCAGGTGCCCCGACAATTTTTTAAATGAAGAATAAAGCTGGAGAGTTCACACTGTTTTCAAGAGTCACTATAAATGGGCACCTGGGTGGTTCAGTCAGTTAAGTGTCTGCCTTTGGCTCAGGTCATGGCCCTAGAGTCCCAGGATCAATCCCGCATCGGGCTCCTTGCTCAGTGGGGAGTATGTTTCTCCTTCTCCCTCTGCTCCTCCCCCCACTTGTGTTGTCTCTTTCTCTCTCTCTCAAATAAATAAATAATATCTTAAAAAAAAAAAAAGTAGAGATGCCTGGGTGGCTCAGTCAGTTAAGTGTCTGCCTTAGGCTCAGGTCATGATCCCAGGGTCCTGGGATGGAGTCCCACATCAGGCTCCTTGCTCAGCAGGGAGCCTGCTTCTCCCTCTGCCCCTCTCCCTGCTCGTACTCACTCTCTCTCTGTCAAAATAAATAAATTCTTTTTTTAAAAAAGTCACTATAAAACTACAGTAACTGAGATAGAGTGGTATTCACATAAGGATAGATATTTAGATCAAAGGTACAGAATATATTTAAGAAACAGACCCAAAGGTACCAAGGTAATTCAACAGAGAAAGGCGGGGCTTTCCAACAGAGGAACAGCTGGGTACCCATAGACCAAAAAAAGAAAAAAAAAACAAGACATAAAACCACACACATAAAAACCTCTATTTTTAACTCCTACCATATATAAAAATTAACTCAAAATGGACCAAAACCCAAATATAAAACCCAAAATTATAAATGCTCCTCTTCAAAAGCCACAGTTAAGAAAATGAAAAGACAAGCCACAGACTGAGAGAAAATATTTGTTAAAAAACCCATTATCTGATAAAGGACTTGTTTCTAGAATAAAGATTTTTCCCAACTCAAACTAAGACAAACAGCCCAGTGAAAAATCAGTCAAAAAATGTGAGCGCTTTATCAAACAGGACAAATAAGCACATAAGAGATGCTCAACATCGTTCATCATTAGGCAAACACAAATCAAAACCACAATGAG